GTCTACTCCGGCCGGGTGCGGGCCAAGGCTGCAGGAACAGAACCAAAGCAATACAGAAACAAAAACAAAACAGGACCCAGCTAGTAACCCTATCCTACTGAGCTGTACTAAGTGACAGGGAGGAAGTTGCAGTTGCAACCCTAGACAAGCGTTCGACGGACAGTGCTACCAAAGAACAGCCCAAATACAGCTGCTAAAAATACGGAGTAAAGCCCTAGAAATCAATATCGAAAGTTGGATGCTTCGTATGAGATTACTGTACATACAAGGAACCAGACAGTTTTACACACATGTGGTCCATTTAAACACCCCAGAAAAACAACACCATACTCACAGTGCCTACTCATAAAGCCGAACCAGAATATAGAAAAAAAAGAAAGAAAAAGAAAACAGAAACGGTCCCCTATTCATCCGCAACTGTAGCCAACCTCGCAAAACTGCACAACTGCCCTGCCACCCGCGCGGCAGGGGACTGTGCCTACAGACCCCGCAAAACCCACCCACCTCCTCACAATTCAGAGCGGATTGCACCACCAATTAACCCCTTACGCACCATTCACCAAAAACAGCAACTCCCACCATGATGCTGCGCGGATGGTAGGGTAATTCTACTGATTTGGTAAAGACTTTCAATGTGACCCTGAGGCAAAAGTTGTTCAGTTTATTTTTCTGCATAACATAGTTTTTGTCAGGGCTGCACCGGCCAGCGGCCGGTTGGACCGGACCGGTCCCAGCCGGGTCGGTTGGTTGGACCGGCCCGGACCGGAATTCCGGTTGGGCCCAAAACCGGGTCGAATTTTTTTTATTTTATTTTTTGGGTGATGGGGTTGGACTGCGCTTGTCGAGATCTCCCCGAATCCGCAGAGGAAACATGAATGTGCGGATTTTTTTTTCATGGGGTTTGGGGGGTGGGGGGGTCTGGTTGTTCTGGGGGTGTTAGTGGGGTGGTTGCAGCGTACCTGTCCTCCTGCCAACACTGACCAATGCATACCTGCAGCGGCACAAAACATGAAGGAAGCCATACCACACAAGGCTACAGAACAAGGAGAAGAAGAAGAAGAAGAAGAAGAAGAAGAAGAAGAAGAAGAAGAAGAAGAAGAAGAAGAAGAACAGGATGACGATGAAGAAGATAAAAAAAACAAACAAACACGCTGTGGTTATGGCTGGCAACGAGGAGGGGCAAGGGGAAGATATGGCAACGATATGGCTACCGAGTGGGCTCGCTGCCCTCCTCGCGCGTCCACTACCCCGCTCGCGCCCGCTGCCCTCCTCGCGCACCCTCTCTCTCTCTCTCTCTCTCTCTTTCTCTCTCTCTCTCTCTCTCTCTCTCTCTCTCTCTCTCTCTCTC